CCCAGCTACTCGGGAGGCTGAGGCAGGAGAATTGCTTGAACCCGGGAGGCAGAGGATGCAATGAGCTGAGACTGCGCCACTACACTCCAACCTGGGCGACAGACTGAGATTCTATCTCAAAAAAAAAAAAAAAAAAAAAAAAAAAAATTATAGTTGAGTCTTTAGTGTATCACTCTGAAACTGGTTTTCTTTTTTAGAGACAGGGTCTTGGTCTGTCACACAAGTTAGAGTGCAAGTGGTGTGATCATAGTTCACTACACCCTCAAATTCCTGGGCTCAAGCAACCCTCCGACTTCAGTCTCCCAAGACCTAGGACTACAAGTGTGTACCACTGTGCCCGGCCAATTAAACAAATTTTCTTTGTAGAGATAGTAGTCTTGCTATGTTGCCCAGGCTGGTCTCAAGCTCCTTGCCTCAAGCGATCCTCCTGCCTCCACTTCCCAAAGTCCTGAGATTACAAGAGTAAGCCACCATGCCTGGCCTGAATGAAGAAATTTTTTTTTTTTTTTTTTTTTTTTTGAGATGGAGTCTTGCTCTGTCACCCAGGCTGGAGTGCAGTGGTGCAATCTTGGCTCACTGCAACCTCCACCTCCCGGGTTCAAGCGATTCTCCTGCCTCAGCCTCCTGAGTAGATGGGATTACAGGTGCATGCTGCCATGCCCAGCTAATTTTTTCTATTTTAGTAGAGATGGGGTTTCACCGTGTTACCCAGGCTGGTCACAAACGAGACTGGTCTTTTATCATCGTTACACTGAAGTATTTGGTGGATTCTTGGGCTAGCCAGCATGTATTCCACATTCTTTTGGTTCTAGTGCCTTTTTTGGCTTTGATGGAAGCATCCTTCCCCCATTCTTGGCCAACATGCTTTGCATAAAGCTGATGCCATCCTCAAGCACCAGGTGTGTAAGCTATAATGTAGGCTCATAAAATTAACGCATCCCACCCTCTGACCACAGTGATTGGCTCAGAGATGGCCTTGTGGCTTTCGGAGCCAATGAAAAGCAATGAAACATTTGCTGGAATTTCAAAAAAGAGCACTCTCTGCTCTGTGGGATGCAGGATGTGAGGGATGTTGCTGCCACACCACCAGGGAAATCAGCCTAACAAAGATGACAGCCCAGCTTAGGCTGATGGAGCCTGGGGACAACATCACAGCCCCAACTCAAGCAGTACCAGAAGCCAATTAAGTTCCTTTTTGGTTTAGCTGGTCTTAGTTGGGTTTTCTTTTTTAAATATTTTTTATTTTTTTTGAGATGGGGGAGGGGGGTCTCACTCTGTCACCCAGGCTGGAGTGCAGTGGTGTGATCTCGGCCCTCTCCAACCTTCACCTCCCTGGCTAAAGTAATCCTCATACCTCAGCCTCCCGAGTAGCTGGGACTACAGGTACCCACCCCCGGCTAATTTTTTTTGTATTTTTGGTAGAGACAGGGTTTTGCCATGTTGCCCAGGCTGGTCTCGAACTCCTGGCCTCAAGTGATCTGCTCCCCCGCCCTGGCTTGGCCTCCCAAAGTGCTGTGGTTACAGGTGTGAGCCACCACACCTGGCCTCTGAGTTGGGTTTTCTATTTCATGCAACTGGGAGACTCCTAACTGATTCCACTACCCTTGGTTAACTCCTGCTTATTATTTATGTCCTGGCCCTTCTCTGTCAATGAACTACAAGCCCTTTGAAAGCATGAGCCATGTCTTATTCAATTTTATATCCCTTACAGTATCTGGCAGAGTGCTTTGGACAAAATAGATTTGTTCTTTTTTTTTTTTTTCTTTTTGAGGCAGAGTCTTGCTCTGTTGCCTGGGCTGGAGTGCAGTGG